TGCACATGTTCACCAGTCTTTCTCGCGTTTTCCTTTGTGAAGTCTGTTTTAAGTAGTGTGTCCAGCTCATGATGCCACTACTTAAATGTCCACCTCATGATGCCACCACTTATCTGTCCACCTCATGAAGCCATACTTATATGTCCACCTCATGATGCCACTACTTATCTTTTATGACTGATTTGTAGTTGTGGATAGATGACAGATGATAAAAAGACGGATATATAGACAAATACTTTACAGATGACAAATACAGATAGGTAACAGATCGCTGATAGCTGATTAATGATCTGGACCTTTTGCCAATTATATGTGACTTATAAAAATTTTCTGCAGTATGTGGTTCAGTTTCATTTTTAATGTTTTTATTATCCATTTTTTTCATTTTGACAGTCATCTCCCCCCTCCTCTAATTCCTTGGGACTTTTGTGTCCTAAGAAATCTCCTACAAAATTGCAAATACATCTCCCATTTTTTTTTTTTTTCGAGACAGGGTTTCTCTGTGTAGCTTTGTGCCTTTCCTGGAACTCACTTGGTAGCCCAGGCTGGCCTCGAACTCACAGAGATCCGCCTACCTCTGCCTCCCGAGTGCTGGGATTAAAGGCATGCGCCACCACCACCTGGCCCAGTATTTTCTTTGATAAGCTTTACAGACTTACCTTTCATAGAGACATGATGCAGCTCAAGTTATATTCATGAATGGTGTGGGGCAGGGGTTGGATCTAACTTGTCTCTTAAGAATTTCCACCTTGATCCAACACCATTTACAACATTCTCCCCACACTAAATTGGTACTTTCATTAAAAACCAAGTTGCTACATATCTGGGTTTATTTCTGAGTTTGATATTTTATTCCATTTGTATACTCAACTACAGATATGTGATAACAATTTCTCAGTATAGCTTTCTAGTACGACTTGAAATATGGAAGTATACATCCTCCAACTTCAGTCTTTAAGATTATTTTGAAATCACATTATCAATTTGTACAATCTGATAAAATTCTAAGAAAGTCATTTAACAATGTCAAATCTTATTCATATTAAATCTTTAAAACTATGGGCTTAGAATGTATCTCTATCTGTCTGAATGTCTGTCTGTCTACCTACCTACCTACCTATCATCTTCTAATTATCTATCCATTTATTCATACATTCTTTAGTTTCTCTCAAATAGTGGCTTATGTATTCATTCACCTATAGACTGGGTTTAATGTATCTCTGCTGGCTTCAAACTTGATATGTAGGTGAAGGCAATATTGAATTTCTGATTCTCCTGCTTCAATCTCCCAAGTACTGATATTTTCATAAACACAGCCAATTTATGATCCCCGCAGTGCTGGGTATAAACCCAGGACTTTATGGGTACTGTGCAAGCACTCTACCAACTGAAGTACATCCCTGGTCCAATTTTTTAAACACTTTTATATTAAAAAAAAATATTGAGTGCAGGGAGTTCCCACATATTCCATATTCAGTTTTCCTATCACAAACAACTTGCATCCATATGTTGTACCTGTCAAAATGAATGAACAAACATTAATATACTACTGTCCAAAATTTACTCAACATTGACCTCAAGTTCTGAGAACTCATCTAAGACACATTAGTCATCATTTTTCCCTGTTGAATGACTTCAAAAGCCTGGAGGAGCACTGGGCAGGTAATTTTGCCAAATGTCTTTCACTGAAGACTTCTCTGATGCTTTTATCATGGTTCTGCAGTGTTGCTGGTTCTGCAGCTGGAGTCCTGCTGTCTCTGATCCTGGGGGGCAGGGACCAGCAGACACAGAGTCAACAACACAGACACTGGAAGGTTTGCAAGGAATCTCTCCTTTATTAAACAAAGGGCTGGAGTTTTGTGTGTAGATTTTTTTGGTGGGCTTCGCTCCTAGCTACTGTGGTGTTTCTTGGTTGGCTCTGAGGCTGCATGTCATCCTTCCCAGTTTGGAGTTTATGGGTCAGGTTTCCTCCGGCCAGAGCACTCTCTGTGCATGTCACAGCTTTTTGATTGCTTAAGGCGTAACCCAGTGCTTTTGGCCTTACCTGCCTCATATCACCTTTTTAAATCTTATTTTGGGGCTGCTAGTGGGAATTAGAGTTCTTTGCTCTAATCTTGTAGCCCCCCACTTCAGGGGTTCCCCCAACATGGCAATTGTGCCTGTCTTAGGTTGGGCTGCCTAACAGGCTCTTACCCATCTCTGGCTACCAGCCCTCAAAAGGGTGGTTACCCTGGAAAGTGTCTAAGGTGCAAGAGCATTGGACAGAGGCATCAGACAGAGGCATCACATATTTTCGTGAACCAGCTTCTTATTACTTCCTTAAGGGGAGATGATCAGGGCATTCCAGAGCCATTAGCACTTGCAGGTCATTTTGTTGACACGGCACTGTTGGGAAACATGCTGTAGGAAACACTTAAACAACAGAATTAAGAGTACCATTCCCCATGCTATAATTTTTTGGAGTGAACAAGTGTAAATTTATTATACAGCATGTATACAGAGAAGTCTATTGAGATATCACAGACTTTAAAATAATAAAATAGAAACATACAATATTTACCTAATTTTTTGGTGGATGAGGTTAATTAAATACCCAACTTCTTCATAAATGTTCTTATAAAAATACTACTTTTTTGTTCCTAAAAGTTAACATTGTTGATTTATATTGGTGAACATTATATATAATGCAAAGAACACAGGTCAGCAGAAATTATAACACAGTAGGACAAAACATAATAGAATGTTAAAAAAGAAATTAGGTGTTTAAAAGAGAGTGGAGAGAACAGAGGAAGCTCCTGTCACTAGGCCACTGTCTTCTAAAAGTTAAACATCTGTGTTCTCACTTGGTCACATACAACCTAAGTCAAAGGCATCTTCACTACTTACAAGTGATGGTACATGTCTATAATCCAGTGCTCGAGGGGTGGAGATAGAATTAAAAGTTCACATAGAGGCTATATATATAGTATGGAGGTCCCTAGGACGACTGTGGCTTATAATAAATTTCGGTTCTACTCAATTATTGAAAAAAATAGCCAAATGAATGGAAACACATGAACTATGAACCAAAGGCTGAGGGCCCCCCAGCTGGATCAGGCCCTCTGAATAGGTGAGACAGTTGATTTTTTGGGAGGCAACTAGGCAGTGGGACCAAGTCCTGTGCTCATTGCATGAATTGGCTGTTTGAAACCTGGAGCTTATGCAGGGACACTTGGCTCAGTCTGGGAGGAAGGGACTGGACCTGCCTGGACTGAGTCTACCAGGTTGATTGCAGTCCTCAGGGGAGGATTTGCCCTGGAGGAGGTGGGAATGGGGGGTAGGCTGGGGGTGAGGAGAGGGTGTGGGAGGGGGGAGAATAGGGGAACCCGTGGCTGATATGTAGAACTGAATGGTATTGTAAAATAAAATAAAATAAAATAAAATAAAATAAAATAAAATAAAATAAAATAAAAAGAATTAAAAGTTCAAGTTCACCCTCAGCTACACAGTAAATTCAAGGCCAGACTGGGCTCCAAGAGACCCCTAATGTTAAAAAAATAAAAAAAATAAAAAAAAATAAAATAAAATGTTAGATGTAGATCATACCTGTAATCCCAGCACTCAGAAGACTGAAGCAGGAGAGCTGAAAGTTTGAGGCCAGCCTGGGATATATCATGATTTGCAGGCCAGCCTGAGCTACAATGAAACCCCATTTCAAAATTGGCAAGAACAAAAGGCATTGCCATAAAACTGCATAACCTTATAGGTTAATGCATTTCTTAATCCTAATCAGAGAAAATTTTATCTGCCGTAGGTGGTGATTAACAGAGACACTCAGAACTAGCCAAAATGTAGAAAATGAAGAGTATGGAATGCTCAGTCCCAACTGGAACATGAAACACACACACACAACACACACACATTCATCCTCCCAAGGTTTAGGGAGCATGTGGAATAGGGGACCAAAAGAGTGTAAGACTCAGGCCATGGATAACTATAAGGAAACAGCATCTTCTAGACACAAAAGGAGAGCAGCACATGTAAGTTCAGAGGTTGTGACAGCATGTAAAGACCTGGGCAGGCCCAACACAGACCCAATCTCAGCACGGAGGGCAGAGCTGGGGATGGAGTCCCTGTCCTAGATAAGGAGCTATCTGCAACTGATAGCTGCTGGAGGGATAATCAGTGTTCTTTAAGAGTGTACCCCTGATGAACTGACCTCGCTCCAGTGGAAGGCCACACACCCAAGAATATTTGGGCAGCACAAACTGGTCTTGATGAGTTTAAGAAGACAGAACATAAAGTTGGGTGGGTAGGAAAAAGGGTGGTAGATTTGTGAAGAGTTAGGGGGGATATTATTAAAACACATTCTACAAGATTCTCAAAGAATAAATAAAATATTTTTAAAAATGAATAAGACAGTTTTCTGAGTTTCAAGGCACAGCTTCACACTGGAAAACTGTTCTGGGCAGCTTGTAGGCTCAGTCACTGCAGTAGGCATAAGTTTTGAAAGGATACGTGGGCAACAAGAGTGTTTTGTCCCACAAGGATTGGCAAATGTGCATTGACAGAAAAGCCTGCACCGGCCAAGTTTTCATACTCAAAAAGACAGTGCTCTTTGAGTAAAGTTGGCTGGGGTGGTACTCTTTTTAACTTTTCTTTGCCAGTTTCTCCTTTTCCCTTGGAGTACCCAGTTTGAAGCTTAGCTTTTGTTTTTCCCTGAAATATTTGATCTTGTCCTCAGCCGCTTGCTTCGCTGTTGTCAATGTCAAAGACACTTCTAAGACATCAAGTTTCTGAGTTCTGCACATAACTTCATATGATTATTCTCTTTCCCTTTGAAGCTGGGCCTGTTGTTCCAGGCTCTTCTTGCCTTGCTCCACACTGAGAGCCATTCTCTTTGTATATTCTAGTTGCTCCTCCAGAAGAGTCCAAGACTGGGCTCTGTTTAACTGTATATTCTTTTTTTTCCTTTGCTTTATCAGTTCTTGTGGACCAGTTTTCTTTTCTTTTCTTTTTGGTGCTGTTTCAAAATGCTTTATTTTCACTTGGTCCTGAGACTTGGGAGGGGCTCCAGAGCAGTTAACAAAGCTGCCTAGCAGTTTGGGTGAAGGTCCTGAGGCTGGCTGGTGCAGAGCAGAGGAGGGAGCCCCTTGGAAGGTGACGCCTCCTAGTCATGCTTGAGAGTGAGCCTCTCGAAGAGGTACTCACCCAGAGATGGCGAGGGCACACCAGTTTGTGCTGGCTGCGGCCCAGCCACCCTGTGGAGGCTGGTCAGGTGGTTGCCCATCTTCTTGATGAGCTTCACCTCCTCATCCAGGAAGTGGTTTTCCAGGAAGTCACAGAGGTGAGGATCTGTGCGAGCAGAAGCCAGGGCATGAAGAACCAAGAGGGCCTGGTTCAGGCTCTTCTCCAGGACCAAGGCAGCTTCCATGGCCTCCTGGGATTTACCTCACTCATCTGGCTTCTGCACATCCTGGAATAGTGCGCAGCCTCCGCGTTGGTTCTGCATCTTGAGCAGCTGACCGGCGCCCTCACGCTTCTCATCGGCCAATTTGCGGAAGTGGTCGACACCCTCCAGAGCCACATCATCCCGGTCAAAATAGTAGCCCAAAGAGAGAGAGGTAGGTGTAGGAGGCCCGCAGGTGCAAGTTGACCAGGCGGTTCACTGCAGCCTCCACTTCGGTGGAATAATTCTGATGGACCTGGGAGCTCATGGCTGATACGCAGTATGGAGCTAACCGCAAAGAGACAGTGCTGGCTGGTCCTGGGAGCCGAAGGCGGCGAGGAGATGGTCCCAGAGGCTGCAACTGGTGACACTGGGATGAAGCTGGACACTAACAAAGGGAGGCCCCGGGTCTGCTCCGTTCACTGTTGAAGCAAGACAGACACGGGATCTCCATTTTTTAAACCCAAAATGTTGTTTTGTTTTGCTTCCTCTAGTGCTGTTTCTCTGTAAAGAATATTTCAGGTAATCTTCTACTTGTGTTATCCCCAGCTCTAAACATGGAATCTTTCCTTGAAGAGTTTAAGGTTAAAATAGACATTGGCTCACTTGGGTCATAAAGCATCTGGAGAGTTGGTTTCTAAGTTCACAGGGTGGCGACTCCCAAGATGACTCACCTGGAGGCTTCAGATAGTTTCCAGATAGACTGCACATGAATTCAGAATCCATTTTTTGGGTGAGAGGAGTGATTCCAAGTGTGATAGTGAATCCTTACAGAAAATTAATTTGTCTGAAAAGAAAATGTAGGAGCTGGTACCAGGACACTCTTAGTCCTGAATATATTTAGGTTTGGTTAGTTTTTTGTTTTTGTTTGAGACAGGGTTTCACCATGTAGTCCTGGCCAACAAGTTTTGGAGACAATGCTGGCCTATCTGCTTAGCATTTCAAATGCTGAGACTAACGACATATACCACTACACTCAGCCTCTTTTATACCTACCCACATGTTGTGTGTGTGTGTGTGTATATATATATATATATATATATATATATATATATATATATATATGAAAAAAATACAACTTTTATAAATATTTCCTCCCAATTTCTAGCTCATCTTTTCGTTTTTCTCAGATATCTACTAAAATAGGATTTTTATACCTGTTTACATAGATACTTAAGGCATTGATCTAAGAAATCTTTCTGCCTAATAACAAAATCATGGAGATACTCCCTGCTTTGTTTTACTTCTGTGTGTTTCATGATTCTAGGTATTACATTTAGGTCCATGATCCATTTTTTTCTTAATAGTTTCCTCCAGTCACCTGACAGCTGACATGTCTCAGCCCATTTTTATTTTTTTTTTTAATTTTTTTTTTATTTTTGGTTTTTCAAGACAGGGTTTCTCTGTGTAGCTTTGCGCCCATTTTTAAGTGGGTGAAGTTTAAACTGTTTGCTTGGGTACCCTACCTTTTTGTCTAATAAACCTTTTAGAACACTTTTACAGTACACATATATGCACAGCTTCCATCACTGTCAATATTATACCAAATGCTGTATAGTTTACAATCTATGATATCACATCACCCAGAGTTCATAGTTTACATTAGGGTTCACTCATTGTATTACACTTCAATGGCCTTTGACAAATGTATGTCATATATGTTCTATCACAGAACCACATAAAATAGTTTCACTGTTTCCAAAAACCTCTATTGCTGTGGATTATGCTCAGTTTAATAATAAAGGTAATTGGCCGATAGCAGGGCAAGAAGAGATGGAGCTCAAGAGCCAGGCTAGGAGAATTCGAAGAGGAAGGTCAGAGTTGTGGCAGATGCCAGCTAGCCTCCAAGGAAGCAAGACATGTAGAAAATTAGGTAACAAGCCATGAACCACGTGGCAAAGCATAGAAAAGCAATATGGGTTAAATTAAATGTAAAAACTAGCTAGTAATAAGCCTGAGCCATTGGCCAAGCATTTATAATTAATATAAACCTCTGAGTGAATATTTAAAAGCAGCTTCAGGACAGGGCAGGACAGACAAAAGCCTCCAATTACACTCTATCCCCTGCTTCTTCATCCCCTCCTCCTCACTACTACTGGCCACCACTCATGTGTTCACGATGTCAAGTTTTGCCTTCTTCAGTTTGTTATATAGATGAGACCATATGATGTACAGATGTTAAAGACTGGTTTAATATTTCATTTCTTTTAAATTACATTTAAAAATTGTGTGTACATAGGGATGAGGGGAAGCAAACAGCATGTCTTCCTGCACATGCAGGAGTCAGGACAACTTGAGAGTGGGTCTGAGGGACCAGGCTTCAGTCATCAGGCTTGGTGGCAGTCCACCTCATTTTTTCTTCATTTTGTGTGTTTTGCGGGATGGGTGTGTAGTATATGTGCCGTGGGATGGTCTGTATGTCAAATTACTCTGATTGGTCAATAAATAAAACACTGATTGGCCAGTGGCCAGGCAGGAAGTATAGGCGGGACTAACAGAGAGAAAAGAAAGAACAGGAAGGCGGAAGGAGTCACTGCCAGGCGCCACCATGACAAGCAGCATGTGAAATGGATTAATTTAAGCTATAAGAACAGTTAACAAGAAGCCTGCCATGGCCATACAGTTTGTAAGCAATATAAGTCTCTGTGTTTACTTGGTTGGGTCTGAGGGACTGGCAGGTGACAAAGATTTGTCCTGTGGGCAAGGCAGGAAAACTCAAGTTACAAATGGCACCCAACATGTTGGCAAGAGGTTCCACGTAAAACTTGAGAAAATAAGTGTCTAAAACAGAGCTAAAAAGTTTCTAGTTGTCTCTCAAGTTAGTGGCAGCCTGCGTGTTTGAGCTACTATGGTGGTTTCTGGCGTGTGCGCTCGACCTGCAGTTTGGCAAGAATGAGGCCACTGCAAATGGCATATTAAGCTGCATGGTGGATTTAGCCTTTGCTAGTACAAAACAAAAAAAGAGGTTTCTGGGCTACATGCTGCTTTGATAGAAGCATAGACCCACTATTTCTGAAAGTTGATGGCTCCCAGAGCTGGCGGAAAATGTACCATGTTGGGAAACTGAAGTGGGTGGAGCCAGCAGCCACAGTGCCAGCGCCGTTTCAGGCTTAGAAGGCTGCAGTTTAAAACAATAGGCTCAAGGTAACATAAAAAATAAGCCACGTAAAGATGGCTACCACACAGAGAATTTGGATTATGTTCTCTTTGATATTCATAACTGAAGAAAAACATTTGATTGCAAAAGCTCTTGAGTTAAGCCAAAATGTATATGTTAAAGGTACCTTGACTTCAAAATTTGGATGTAAGGATATGTTGCTTTGGAAAGGAGGCCCTGCCCATCTCTATGAAACCCCAATGGGCAAAGACTGGAGGCATGCCCATTATGCCCCTCCTTGCCAGTATAACCTTTGCCTCAAGTCTGGTTGTTGAAAGCTCTCCTCTGGACCGTTGGGTTCTTCTTCTTGGCAGCTCCATCCAAGGACCAAAGTGGTTTTCGGTTCTCCCAGAGAGCACAGGCTAGTGCCAGTTTTTGAACAGACATCTTTTCTTTCCTGTCTTAAGAATACTTAGCTGCTCACACTGACTCACAGGTTACCCTTTCAACTTTTTTTTTTTTTTTGTAAAAACATTCTAACTTTCTATATGCTGTGTATTTTTACTAACTTAAGCCTGTTTTATATATACTTAGTTCAGCATTTCTTTTTCTCTTGTAATGTCTCAATTCCTTTGGCTCTTATTGGTTTGTTGTTTCTGAGATGGGCTTGTTCTATAGACCAGCTGTCCTTTAAGCTCATGGCAATACTCCTGCCTCTATCTCCTAAGTACTAGGTTTACAGGTTGAAGACACTATGCTCAGTTGACGTTACATTCTTGTTTTAAAACCATGAATTTAAGTGGCTACAGTAGCAAGTATCTGTAATCCTAGCACTGGGGAGGTACAGGAAGTAGGGTCACAAATTCAAGGCCAGCCTCGGCTACCTAAAGGGATCTTGTCTCAAAAAGAAAAATGAATATACTACTTTAAGCTATATACTACAGGTTCTAAAATGATACATCTTCATTATCACCCAAAATATCTTTCTAATTTTCTATATGGTTTCATTGCTCTTTTTCATAATCATCTAAAATAAATTATTTTAAAAAGTATTTTGCTTGCATATATGTATATGTACCATCAGAGTGCTTGGTGTCCAGAGGCCAGGAGGAGGTGTTCCAAGACACCTTGCAACTGGAATTACATAGTTGTGAGCCTACATGTGGGTGCAGGGAACCAAACCTGAACCCTGTAACAGCAGTAAATGCTATTACCCAACGAGTTATCTCTCTGGCCACCATGGGATTTCATTTTCAATCCATGGAATTAGAACTGTAGTACTTAAGTTTTAAATAGCTTTACAGTTTTTCTAGCTTCATCCCACTGTAGAAAGAGGATATCTTATTTTTGTTTTGTTACTGGTGATCAATTCTGGCAAGTACTTCAAGTATAATTAAAAAGAATATCAGGCTGGGGAAAGAGCTCTGTCAGTACATCACTTGCTACACAAGCATGAAGACCTGAATTTGGATCCCCAGCACCCATATAAAAAGTAAGGAATAGTGACTTGTGCCTATAATCCCTGAGCTGGTGAGGCAGGAAGGTCCTTGGGGCTTGCTGGCCAACTGCATCCATACAAACTGTCACAAAAAAAAATGGGGTGGAAAGCAATTGAGGACTCCCTAGACTTCTACCACATGCATACCCACACATGTGAACACGACACAAAAGAGGTATATTGCAGAATAAGTGTGCAGTGCTCGGCCAGGCATGGTGGCATAAACCTAACATCTCAGCACTTGGTATAGGCAGGAGGATCGGGAGTTCAAGTGTAGCATCAGCTACATAATGAGTTCAAGGCCAGTTTGGGTTACATGTGATTCTGTTTAAAGAGGGCAAAGAGCAAGAGACAGCCCAGTGGTTAAGAGCACTTGCTGCTCTTGCAGAGGCCTAGGGTCAGTTCTTAGCACCCACAATAGCTACAACCATCTGTAACGCCAGTTCCAGGGGATCTGAAACCCTCTTATGGCTTCCTCAGTCACCAGACACACAAGCAGTATATAAATATGAAAAATTCATACAGAACACACACATATGCACACGCGTATGCAGGAACAGTGGTGTTTAAGTTAAATAAGGTTGAATGATAATTGTTCAGAATTTCTGTTTATCTGCTCTAGAAATAAATTGTTAAAATATTTTCACCAAATTACATTCCACAAAGTATCAGTAGAAAAAGGCATTTTATGCTTGTTTTTATTCATTGGTTCACTTATCAACTGTTAGCATACCAGCCTTTATTCAACTATTCACTGAGTCCTATAAATATCTCATTTAAGTAAGTTTGGTATGAACACACCTCATTAATTTCTTTTAAAAGGTTAGAGCAACTTAAGAAAGGAAGGATTTATTTTGGTTTTCAGTTCCATGGAATATGTGTCATCATTAGCAGGGCAGGTAGGGAGGCAAGCTGGATGGTTGATCACACTGCATCCACAATCAGGAAACAAAGAGTGATGAGTGCCTGTGCTCAGGCAGCTTTTCCTTCTTTATTCAGTCTTGGATCTCAGCTCACAGAATGAATTAGCTAAATAATCCCTTAGAGATGCCCCTAGCCCTGAGATTTGTTTCTATGGTGATTATAAGTCACTTCTGACAATTAGGACTGGACACTCATAATACCTGTACCTGCTTCAGAGTTTCTAATACTTTCACCACTACGCTCTGAAGAATGGAACATATTGGTATGGAAAAGCAATTGGTGGAGATAATGCCAAGTTACTAAAACAATCAAAATGGAACCTGGTTAAAATAAAAGTTAGTAAAATACAGTAAGTATCCTAATACTGTATTAGACTAATGAGCAGTTCAAACCCAGGTTGCTTTTAAACTTAGTCTGTGAATACACCTGGCATATACTTTCATACATTTGGTCTGCTAATTTTATCAGCTTTCACTGCCTCA